GAGATAACAGAGCAGAATTTTCCTAGTCCAAGACACGTGTACACTTTTCCGGTAAGTCCCTGCATAGGGCTGGATTATGCCTGCCGTCAATACTCGAGAGGCATAGCTTGTAGGGTATTGACTGGTAGCGCCAAGAGATTAGGTCGGTCCGGGTAGGACAAAGTCTCGCTACGCGCGAAAGAAAGTCCCGCATACTCAGCGGGCCGGTACGTCGGATAGCCCGGGTGCCGTAACACTTCTAGCTGAGCAGCCTCTGCGCTCGGTGACCTGTAAAAGCGCTCGCGCGCCGTCGTCCATCCTTTGGTGGAGGGCACAGGGTTGTGAACGAGCTCAGCCGAACCAAACTCGGCGGAGCCTCGGAAGTGATCTGACTTGGTTAGTCGGAACCGAGTGGAAGCGAGCCACTCGTCTGTCCCGGAAGGGCCGGACCGCGAGGGAACCACCCTCTGCGCAGGCCATACAACCGCCGACCTAACTCGGCGATTCGTTGTGGTTTGTGTAAGGAATCCACATCTGACGATATTTGTGTGTTCTACTACACCACAAAAGCCACAGGACGCAATACTGCCCACAATGTCCAAATCGAGGGTCCTGAATATCAACTTCGCGATAGGAATAATCCTTTGGTATCACACGTGGTCTTGGCAAGCCGAGGGGATCAAAGTAAGTCTTATGTTTGTTTGAGACGGCTAACCAATGTGTCCCGCCGATCTGAGGCGTTTCCATGTTTAGAATACAGTAGTCCTTGTGTCTATTCAAATGCTGTTTGAAATCAATTTGATCTACTTTGACACCAAGGGAATTGGCAAGTTTCATCAGTCGATCGTCTGTCGTTCTAGACAATTTAATAATTCTTTTTTCACGCATGGTACTTTATTTTTTCGGCGATTATGATATAATCGTCATCAATATAATCGCATAAACTATGTCTTCTGCTTCTGATATTTCAGCTTTCGAACATTCCGTCGAACCAGCTCCAGCTGAGACGCTTTTCCGTGATAAGAAATGGACGTATATTCAAGACTTAACGTCTAACACTGGTCAATATGCCGGTCAAATTCAATTTAATCTTTCGACCATCTCTTCGCAAGCCGCTTTCGTAAATTGGGAAGAAGCCGTCATCGAGCTTCCAGTAAAGCTTCAAATTCTTAACGGTGGTGCCGTTTCGATCACTTCGACTGCTGCATGCACTATTGATCAATTGGTGCCTAAGGCCGGTGCGTGGCAATTCATTGACAGTGTTCAAGTTATTGATGGAACCACTGTTCAAACGAATCAAGTACATGAGAAGGTGAAATACAACGTTCAAGGCTATCACTGAAACGAATTATAATACTTATGTCAAACATGGTTCAGCTAGCAACTTTGTCTTGGATGAATATTCTACTCCAACGATCCAAGGATCTAGCGGAGCAGCTCAATCACTCGAAAACTTGGCCACGTCTTCGTTTATGACCGCCACTAATAGCATCGGTGAGTTTGTTTAGCTAACACCTACTCGAACCGTGGAGCCGCCGAACGATCGCTTTTTACCGCTCTTGATCAACAAAGCACGAAGCTTGCATTTGATGTGATGGGAGGCAGTGCAAATCTTCAAGCCGTTTCGAAACCTCAAGTCTATGTGGCATCTGCTGGTGACGTTGCAGCTGGTTCGCCATTTTACGTCGCACATTACTTGGCTTGCATTAAGCTGCGGGATATTTCTGACTATTTCAAGAAATGCCCAATGCAGAAGAATACGCGCGGCTTCATTTACCTCAATTACAACAGTTCATCTACTATGGATACTTTAATTACAACTGGTACTGCTGGCGTTGTTGCGCCTACTACTATTGCTAGTCTGAGCAACAATATGAATTTTGCAACACCTGCCCGAATTTAAGCAGTGGTGCAACGACAACTGCTTTGGCCGGTGGCCTTGCGCTTCCTGCATCTGCGACCACGCTTTCTATCACTGCCGACGTCAATGGAACTCCAACTGCAGAAACTGGTATCACTCCCTCGCAAACGTTCTCGCGTCTTCTCGCTCCAAACTACTCGCCTAAATCCCAGCGCCAATCATGCATTGGTTCAGAAGAAAACCTTTCGCTACTTTGAGCGGATCACAAATAAATTTACTGTTGCTCCAGGCGCTTCCTTCACTTGGACGGTCAGTAATGGTATTGCTAATCCAAAGCGTTTGATTATGCAACCTGTTATTACCAATATAACGGCAGGTGCCACTGTATCAGATATGATTAATCCCTTCCGTAGCCCATTTTCGACTGTACCTGCTACGACAAGTCCATTTGCTGCATTGAAAAATCTTCAGATCACAGTTGGAAACCACCCTATCTGGAACAACCCCGTGAGGTTCGGATATGATTTGTTCGTGCAAGAGATGTCAAAGTCAGGCTGTGATGGTGGTCTTGATGATGTTGTCTCGGCCGGTTTGCTATCTCAGCGTCAATGGGAATTACTTTATCGATTTGTTGCTGTTGATATTGGTTGTCGTCTTCCAAGTGAAGATGGTGCAAGCAAGAGTATTATCGTGTCTGGTACTTCCAACTGCAACTACGCTCTCACCATTTATTACCACGTATTGCGTGAGGTTGTAGTCACAGTCGATACGGCTATGGGTACGGTTTCACAAGGTCCTGTTCAAGGCTGATCTTGACAACATCGTAATGTAATTGTATATAACCACATTTTTTTTTAATCATCTTCAATATACGTGGCTAATCAAAATCAATCAGGAGTGGCTTTTTTCTCCGATAATCAGACCAAGCAAAAGGCATATGATCGCTATTACAATGCCATGGCAAAGAGCGATTTTGCTCAAGGCAAAAAGCCGAAGGCTCTAATTCAAAACGAGTCGTTGGATGATGCAAGTGCTGATTCACTTGCGAATTTGTTTCAGCAAGTGATGGCGAAGAATCGTGATTATGAGTATGGTCAGATCACACAAAAAAACTACTCAAAGGTCCCAAAGGGCCTCCTGAAATTATCAAAGGTGAAGCACATGAGGCTCCTAAAGCAAGTAAAAAGAAGCATACTTACGTTCCACAATCAACTGACGCAGACTTCGATATGGAAGAGCCCACTGCACCTGAAGAATCACCCGACGATTTCTATAGCGGCATACACGACGTTGCTCAAAAGGCCACCAATACTCGAGCATATATTAAGGGGAAAAAGACTTTGAAACAGGTGGTGGATGACCACGTTCGAAATTATCTTAACAAACGAAGAGAGCTTAGAAGAGAAGATTCAATGCGAAGGTGTCAAGAAATGGCTGATAAATTTGCTGATGAAATCATGAAAGAATCAGAGAAACTTCTGAAACGAAAACGAACCGCAACTCCCCCAAATAAATCTTCCACGGACAAACGAGCAGCAAAAAAGCTGCTAAACGAGCTGAGGAAGAATTCTCGACTACTCGACAACTCTTTCAAGACTCGGATGTTGAAAGCAGTGATGACGAAGAAATAAAAGAAGAGAAGAGATTACGCAAGTTGAATGCTGGGATAAATAAAAAGTATATACTGACGATATCAACAGCTACAAAAGCTCATTTGCAAATAACTTGTACGAAAGTATCCGACACAGGTTTGGCGAAGCTGTTGAGCAACGCAAAGGCAAAGAATATTTTGAAGGCAATGCTCCTAAACCGCCAAGAAAGCATAAAATGAAACGAGATGCTATGAATCAGTTCAAAGCTGAATTAAAAGGCTGGCTCGATGGAATCTTTATCTAAACGGAACGTTGTTTGCGTAATTTTTTTCTAACTCATTAAGTTCATTAATTAGAAGTTTGATAGCAGCAGCATTCAATGCGCCAAGTTGAGAGTAATCAAGAGTATATTGATATACTTCCAATCATTGTCGCCTTCTGCTTTCATATTTTCGTTTGGCATAATGCTGACCATTTCTCCACACACTTTCATTGCGTCTTGTGCGATCAGACCAAGCTTAGGCTTGCTTTCTTCTTTCCATGAGTAGATAACTGGCTCTAACTGATCATAATGCTCCAATGTAATTGAGATTGGCGTAATATTCTCTTTGAGTCGTCTGTCAGAGCTTGTGTAAATAGATTGCGAGCAAAATATTGAAGATGAAAAGATGGCAGACACTGTAATACTGACTGGGCCTAAACCAAGATTGCTCCGAATATTTCCTTGCACGTTGTATTGATAACAATTTGATGTTCCACCAACACCAACTGTGTATGAGTTTGATCCTGATACGTGCAAAAAGGCTGCGGGAGAACCAGTCCCGATACCAACTCTACCAGCCGAGGTTATTGTTAGTCTTCGTGTGTTTGCAGTCATCATAACCAAAACATTGGTAGTTGTAGTCCCAAAGTATGCGCTATTTGTCGAGGTTGCATTTGTTGCGTTGGTCAGTTGCAATCCAAAACCAATGGGCGTTGCATTTGATAATTCCATGAAAATCGGCATATCATAGTTAGCAGTTCCATCATTGAGTGCGTTAGATGCTATGATATAAACATTACCAAAGTTAGTGTGAGAGGAGCAGTCCTAAATGAGCTAGTGTATGGCGTGTTGGTGTTAAATATCATTTTATTAGCAGTGTCAGAAACAAGGTAAAGACAACCACTTGACGGTGTAGGAGACGATCCGGAAGGATTTATACAAAACACATCCGCTAAGGTAGCCAGGATGTATGTATGAGGGAAACCACTCTTGTACGGCTGTAAATTTCCAATATTGAAACAAAATATATGCGTTTGCGACGTAAAACCCACGGATGGCTTGTCATTCCAATTGATATTGAATAAATCCGCACTTGTAGCTGAAACACCGCCTACGAATGAGCTAGGATTATCAGTTGATATTAAATTCAACACCGGATACGTTTTGTTGTTTGATGCTGATGTTGTTCTCGATGCAATGACCAATCCGTTTGTATCAGATACTCGATAAATGTACGATTTGCTGTTTTGTAAAAACGGAAGCAATTGGTACTCGACGTGCCCAAAGGCATCTAGCCTACACCAGAACTATCCAATGTCATTGTTTTAGATACCTGAAATACCCCGAGCGTTGGAATATCGTTGTAATTGAGTTTAGCAGCAGTAGATGTCATTGCCGATCCGCTGAGATTTAAATTCGTGTAGTTAATATTAGACCAGCAGAGGTATTGATCGTATCGACTGTGATAGCAGGTGAAGCCATACTCGTTGAAACAGTAAGGATGGAGCATCCTAAATTATTGATCCCACTATAATCAAGAGTAGAATTCAGCATCACCGCCTTTGAAGCAGCAGCACTACCTTGAGTAATCGACAAGTACAATGATTGATCAAAAGTAGTTCCATTGAAATTTAGCGACCCAGTGTTAATTCCAGTTCCAGACCCACCTAAATCCAATTGATAAGATGGTAGAGTTCCAATGCCGACGTTTCCAGCTGAATCGATGAACATTCGAAAAAACTCCGTTATGATAGAAATACATCATATTTGGATTGTTTGCTGAACTACCTCTAACTCCAATTTCCCCAGCATAAAGATTGCTTGTGAGTTTTATATTGGCTTGGGCAGCAGCAGAACTATTTGAGATTGATACTCCGTTATTTGCAGTTGTCGAAACAGAAAGGATACTAGTTAGAGTCCCATGCGATGTAATATTTGGTTGCCCCCCAGCAGTGAGTGTTCCGGTAATACTTGTAGATGTAATAGAGGTGTTACCCGTGATAGCCTTACCAGGATCTAATACCAAAGCCTTTGAAGCTTGAGCGGCTCCAGCAGTTATACCTGAAACATATGACAATCCACTCAAGTCTAACGCAGCTCAACCAGCCGTCAGAGAACCGCAATCAAGATTGCCGATCACGATGAATGCAGATAACGTTCCAACACCACCAAGGCGCAAGTATCTTTGATCGCCTGTAGTAATAGTAAGATATCCATTAGATGCATTAAAGTAAGAGCTATTGAATAGAGGAGAATTGACAATTGGAGGAAGATACATATATGATCACTATACTCTACAATGCAAAACTTCTACGATCCAATACCGAAGTCTAAACTTAAGAAGTTTCCAACGAATCCACACTTCGAGCTGCCATTTAGAATGTGCGTTGCAAGTCCTAGTGGATCGGGGAGGTCAAACACCGTGCTGTATATAATAGCGCTTCTCGGCAAATGCTTTACCAAAATCGTCATTTGTACAAAGACCAACAGACACTGTATGCTCACCTCAAAGACACTATCGACAACGTCCAGGTGATCGAGGAAGGCCAAATTTGTGCAATGACTGAATTTGACTCTGAGACTAGCAAGTTGAATTTTTTCGATGACTTAGTGATGGAGCCAAAAAGAATTCAAGCTCAGATCTCACAGTACTTCATCCGAGGACGAAAGCAAGGTTGGTCAATGCTTCACAAAATTCACAGAGTTACTTCGGAATTCCAAAAACAATTCGAATCAACACTCAGTACATAATTCTTGGTCGAAATCTTACTCAACGAGACCTTGGTATAATCTGTCGAGACTTTCCCACTGACATCCCAATTATTAACATTCATCGATCTATACAAACGAACAACATCCGAAAAAGTGAGCACTATGTTAATGGATATCATCAATCGAAAGATCTATAAGAACGTTATCGAGTTCGTATGCGATTTATGAGGTTATCTTAAGCGACAAAAAACATGCTGATTGGTTAGCTGCTCAATAGATTATTCACTGTTGCATTTTTTTCGGTCGAATCAACAAACGAATGCATACGTTGTTATCAATGATACCAAGAGGGATCATATTCTGATCGAGAAATGATAGCGTCACTTTTGAATTTGTTCCTTGCATTGGACAATACGTTAATCCTTGTCCTTGAGATGTTGTGATTCAACCGCCATATTTAACGGGTGCGGATTATATCGGAGTACAAAAAGGGTGATCTTTGAGTACATGCTCAAAAAGGATGGTTTGCGAGTACAAATGGGAAAAAGGTGGATTGGCGAGTCCATGGCTCGAAAAGGATGAGTTGCGAGTTCCCGATTACACGGAGAACACTATTTATGGCTCACTAGGAAAACGGATATGTGGTGCACCCCAGTTGATGCCTGTCGCAACCAATGGCTGCCTGTGACTGCTGGTGGCTGGCTGTGGCTAGCGATGGTTGGCTGTGGCTACCGGTGGCTGGTTGGTTGGTAGAGGCTTGTTGGGGCGAGTAGTGGGTTTCCTGTTGCTGCCTTGGTGTTCAGTTGTACTCTCAAAGTCGCCATGTCGGAGGCGCTCGCAGTCATCGACGATGGCGCGGGTTCCCCGCCTCCAGCCGACGAGCCCAGCTTTACCCGACTGTCGGTGCATCAATCCCACGAGGGCGCGCTTCGGAGGCCCAACTGCTCTACCAGTCACTCTACCGCGTTCAAGTACTCAACAGCGAGCATGACCCGTTCGAGGTGTCTCCAAAATGGAGTGCAGACGATGTACGTACTTGATCTCATCTCAATCCCACATGGCAGCGACGGTTCTGACTGTTCTTACTCTAGATCCGAATGGTGCGTCAGTGCTGTGTGTGCGATTGCTCTGAGTCACGCCAGTCAGGATGGATGTGCGAGCACATTGTCGCGGCGATGGCGCTCCTCGAGAAGATCAGCATCGACGCGCTGTTGAGTGTGCTGCCAGTTCGACGACGCCCGGGAGGTCAGTTCAAATGCCGCGGCGCGCTTGCCCGCACGCGGTTCAACAAAAGCGACGCGCGGTTCTTCGGTGTCTCGCACCTGGAGCAGCTTTTCATGGAAAGCCCCGCCGCGCCAACACACTGGCACGTGACCAAGGAGTTTAGTGTGAAGAACAGGGGGCAAGTGCTACGTGAGCATGTGCCTGGACATGTCGACCGTTGGCTCGAAAATGGCGGCCGCTATCAGTGGAAGGTCAAGTTCTCAACCGGAAATCCTTTTGTGTGTGTACTCGGAGATCATCCTTTTTGTACTCGCGAGTAAGCTCCCCCCATATTTTACCCCCAGCAGACGTGAATGTGTATAGTACTTGATTGTTGTTTGCGATTGGATTGTAGAGATTTGAACAAGTAATAACAACAGCGGCTGTGGGGTCTATCTGAGGCACCAAATTGCTATTAACCGCATAAACACTAGTCGTTTGGGCCGCTGGATATGTAGCTGGGCTGAATCCGATGATAGTTTCGAAAGCAGCATTATCTACTTAAGGCTGAGGCGTGTATGTAGTAGCTGGCATCGTTGAAAATCCGCTAGCAGCAGTGTATCCAGTGATATTCTTCACTGGCTGCAAACTAAACTGTAGAGCATAACTGGAAGAATTCTCGGCACATGAGATGAATTAGTAGTATTGTCCAGTCGTGTTATTGATCAGATAAAGATTGCTCTGAATGCAAAAGTATTGAAGGTAGTTTTTGATGTCGCTTGCTGAATATGTGCCATCAGGGAGTGTGATAGAATAAGAAGTTGTAGTAGAAGCTGTCGGTCATATGATCTTAAAGCTATTGTTTTGACGCTGAGCAGTAATTGCTCGCCACGAGTAGTAGATAGATATTGATCCTAGTGCGATTTCATACTGACTGAAGTCGATTGGCTGCGAGAATCGATATCGGAACTGGTGAGTAGCCACTTGATTGTTCAAATTTAACAGAATTGGAAAGCTCTTATCTATACTATCCAAAAGAAAGAAAAATGTATCTACGAAAGAAAATTAGACGACAATTAATGCCCCAGGCAATGGCGATCGATGGATCAGGCGAGGTAGATCACTCGAAACCTGTAGCGCCATCCAGAAATGACTACGGCTCGACAAATATTGAAACGTTGTCCAATCAGCTTCAGAAGATCAGTGTTAGTCATCTTGCTAAGGAACAAAAAAGAAGAAGAAATCTCGTTATATCGATACGTCAGCTCTTTTGAATTTCATAGATCTAAGAGATCTAAAGCTTCATCAGACGCTTGAATTGGCTGTAGTATGATGCCGAAAAGACATTTTTTTTCGTATAATTTGTCAAGGATTGATTTCATTTCCGTTTTTATCAGTGAAGAATCATCACCAATGTTTTTTGCACCCTCGAGCATCTTTAGACGCTTGACCAAACCATCCAAAAGTTGATTATACGCACTTTCGAACCCGCGTGAAGTAATTTTGCATTTGTTTAAGCAGTATTTCATAAAGTCGCGCTCAGGCTCATCAAGATGGTCAAACAAAGCCTTGTCAAAGCTTTTATTCTCTTCGATCATTCGCCAGAGATCAACGAATGCATGAGATACTAACATTGTTTTTATATTAACTTGAGATTTGTCGCTTCTTAAGCAAGCTTGGAGTCCATGAAATTTCACATGGAATGGACCAGTTTTTCGGTATGGTCTCTTTTGTTTTTGCTCCATGATTCTTTTGTATGTTATATCAAATAATTTTTTTTCAAAGGTGTCAATCTCAAGCGTCTTGTCGCTGCCAGTAGGTGTGAAAGCACCATGGAATATGCGTTCCCGACGGTCTTTAGGTCTGCTCCCGGGCTCTACAGGAGGGGCTGTAGCGTGGTCGTATGAATCGTCTGGTTCAAATGATACTTCGGAAGCATTTGCTCGGTTTGCAATCTTGTTGTAGCTCGTGTTAGCAGCCATGGTGCTGTGTAGTAGTTTCGCGTGTAAATCGTTCTTATCGCGATTGGTAAGTTTAGCTTAAGCTGGCGATTGTATCAAATGAGACTCAGAAATGTGCCGGATCATATTCATTGACATTGGCTTTTCATTGTATTTTGGAAAGAGCTTCGATAGAACCTGACTAAAGCTATTGCTTGAATTCGTATAATCATACTCACCTGGCTGCGCCATAGTAGCTTACTAGGCTGCTCTCCAAGCGTATTAGCCAAGAAGTCGAGGTAGGACTTAATCAAGCGCATCGTGGTGCTATCCAACTGAATCGTTTGTGGTCCCATGAGACGGACGTTCTTGAAATCATTGAGATGTAAAACGTCTCCTTGGAGGTAGTTTGCATCTTCTTCTGGAGTGAGAAGAACGCTCGGCCATACCAAACGAAGTCGATAATGCACGTTCAGCCACAACGTGATGTAATCAAACACAAGCTCCAAGTAATCAAATCTCTTTGGTTTGGCTAGCTGCTCAAACTCGGCTCGGGATAGAAATACTTTGGAAGAAGTTTTTCCGTACTAAAAGCGTCCTAAACGTCCTAACTTGTCCTAATACCTACTGTCATAAATTACGGTATTGGCACAAAACTTCGGCATGGGTTATAGGATCGTTAGGACAGTTAGGACAGTTAGGACAGTTAGGACAGTTAGGACAAATACGAAAGTTGTAAGGCTACACTACCCATGCCAACGAGAGATATCTTATGGCTTACAGAATGCAGAATGCTACTCAAACGCCATGTATTCCCCGGGGACTTCAACGTCCACAGACCGCGCATGAGCAGGAGCGCTCTGTCGACCATGCTTGATGTCGTCCAGCAGTTTTATGTAGGAATGTGCCTCTGCCTTTGCAGCTTCAATGAAGACGAGAATACTTGGATGTGGCGCACCAATGCGAGCAGCAAAATCGCAATTGTACTTCTCCAGCGGGTTATTAGTCCGATTTATCATGCTCACATTGTTGCGCCGCATCTGGCTCACGTTCCACAGCGACGTGTCGAACCTCTTTGTCCACGTTCGCACCACAATACTTCCAGAAAGCGTTCCATTTAGTCTTCGCTGCGGTCTCATCGATGATGCAAAGAACATACCGTAGTAATGCCAAAAAAAAAGAATGTGTATGTAGTAAGAATGTCGGAACTCAAATGCGACAAAACCCTGCATTGATCCAAACAGCTCCATTGCCGACGGCGCTAA